TTGTTAACCACTTATGCTATTAAAAAAGTGTATTTATTTGCACTTAAATAAACTATTAAACAAACATATCTGTTTTAATGCTTAAATGAAAGCACAAGTCAATAACTCACTGTGCATTTGGGTACAGTTCAACTGAAATATAAATATTTCTAAATTGAACACATGGTAGAGATGGCAACATTTACCAACCTCCCTGAAAGTAGGCACAGGGATTGCGGTAAGACCATTTACAGCATTTAGACAATGTAATAAATCAGTGCAGCTTACAATTTTAAATGATTATTGCATGCAGCTATTGTTACCCACACTGGTAACTGGCTACACCATGAGAAGGGACCTAATTTTGTAAGTGACTAGAACTACCTAAAGTCTGGAATAAGTGATGGGAGTTTTAGAAAAAGTGAATCTGGACTGCAATACTTTGAATGATGGCCAGACATATGACAGAGAATACAACAGAATTCTTGGACAATGATTTAGAGGTCTTGGAACAAGGCGGGGTAATTAGGAAGAACGATAGAAAAGGTACTTCACTGTACTTAGCATTGGGTTCAGCCAAGCAAGGGTAAGACAAAGCATCAGTTTAAGTGTCCAATTGCACAACGTTAGCACTGGCACCACATCTATATTGCACATGACTCTTATCATGATCTGTTTTCAAAGCTGCCAGTGGTTGTTATGATTCATAAACAAAGTGGTGCCACATGTTCGCTTCAGAAGAGGCCATGCGTACCCTTGGACTCCATTTTTGGGCGGCATTGTCATGCCTAAACATGGGTGCTACGCAGGCCAATCTAGTCCCCTTTCATTTACAGGGCCAGTACTAAGATTTTATCACTAATTTTCATTTTTAAAAAAAAAACAACCTTGTGGTACATTTAAGTTCAGCATTTTAAATCTGGATAGCAGGAAAATAAAGCCAGACCCAGTTTAACAGCTGGTCCCCAAAGCAATACAGTAACATAAACGCTAATTTTATCACCTGCATCTCTGGAGCTGATCTGGATTAAGGAGGCTTAGGGATATGGGTTAGGACACGTTAGTGCAATTATTAAAAAGGTTTAAAAAAAACAAAAAGTACGTCCTGCAGAAGAAGCTATAACGTACTTCCTCTGAACTGCTTCTCGTCCAGACCTTTCAGACTGCTCTACAGGGTAATCATTAACTCGATGTACACAAGTCCTTCACTGAAAATAAAGCAACTGCCACACTGCTTTGATGAAGTGCACGCCTCTTCATAGCCCACAACATTTTCTAGATTACAGGTTGAAATTTTTTTCATTTAACTTGCCCAGACATGTTAATGTCAATATTAATTGTATATACAAGTTGCATATAATGTGTTCTTTCTGATCAGCTCTTCTTTCCCTGCACTGGACAGAATTGAGCCTTTCACACACAATTACTACAGGGACTATTTTTGTTCCTTATAGTGACCCAGCACATTACACTGAATACGTCACTTGAACAGTTGTTTACTTTCAAAAAATCATAAGAAATAGATGTTTCCATCGAAACTGAGCTACCGTAAATGAACAGATGTTCTGAACTAATCAAATGAGACAAATCAACAAAGCCAATGATAATTTAGTTTTATCTTTGTAAAAATAATTGGCGCCAACTTTCTAAAATTTGCTGTTCTGGTTACAAAGCTTCATATTGTGAGTAACACATACTGGTGTGACCATATTTCTCTCCATTCTTGTTTGCGAGAAATTGCAGGAATTTGCAAGGCATGCTTCTGGGGATGAGGAGTAAGATGCTTGCCTCATTTTTACTTGACTTAATACCCAACACTCACGGTAAATTACCTTTAAACTGCAGTATAGATGTGCCTTCCACTTTAAGTACCGTGAGAACATCACCCTCCATCCCAACTGTTGTCTTTTTCCAAGTGAGATCATGCAACTATCCAGCCCAGACAGGTAATCATTTTGGCTCTGCATGTTGCCAAGACATCTTTAGAGTGATGTGAGATGAACATTACATACTCCTCTCTTTGTAGGCAGGACACTGTTAAAGCCAAGGAACTATTCAACCTATTGGCAAGATGATAGAAAGAGGATCATAGAAGATCATAGATCAGATCATAGAATCCCTAAAGGACTTGATCCCCAGGACTTGAATTAAGAAAAGAAAGTCAGAATGTCTGACCTAGTGTAGTCAATCCAGTGTGAACACCACTCCCAGTTTATGGAAGTTTTAGAGGGAAGCACCAGAATTGTATACAGGAGGGCTCACGTGTACATTCCCCTCTAGCTGTCGCATAAACAAATGGATCCAAACTGAAATGCAACAACTAATGACATATCCAATACTCAATAGTACTGACTGCTATATATGTGCACCAAAACAGAGCACATCCCTTAGAAAGGGCGGTTATATTTTATATTTAGTTGCCCCGGCATGTCAAACAAATTTTATTTAATCAAATAATTATTTGAATAATTATACAAAACAAATGTACTCATGGGTTGTTGATCTAGTTTGTGTTTAGTAGACCAAGGTTAAAAAGATACTGTTCCAATTGTTAATCTTGTTGTCTAGGGCCATAAATAAGATCATAAACAGGGATAACAAGGTGTAGAGCTGGATGAACACAGCAGACCAAGCAGCATCAGAGGAGCAGGAAGGCTGACGGTTCAGGCCTAGACCCTTCCTACTATCTCATAAACAGGGATAGTTAGGAGGGAAAAGTACAAAATGAAAAATAAACAACTTATTGCAGAAATGTAAGATGATTTGCTTTTGGAATTTAGTTCTGTTACATAAAATTAGTAGACACTTGTAAGTCACATCACCATAGTTTTACCTGACCATAGGGCTGCTCTTTCATTAGAGAGAGATGACTGGTGGTGCTTTAACGAGAAGGTCACCACACCTCAGTCAAAGGGAGAGGTAGAGAAGAACAGTCCTTCATGGTAAGCCGAGTCAGTACAGGAATTAAACTCACAATATTCAAATCAGCTGTCCAGCCAACTGAGTGGCACTTGTTTACAAACATAACTGTTTCATCACAGACCACAGTTATATGGTCAGCTCCAAATCAATTTGCAAAGTTTTATATTGACATACACAGGAACCAGCTAACAACTTTCTTGAGACACATTGCTTCTAGAGTATTTAGAAGCCAAGCTACATGCAACCTTCTTATGAAATCTACTCAATTAAGCTGTGTTTGTACTAGAGGTAATATTATGAAATTGGGCTGTTGATGTTGAATCTCATCAAATGAGCCTGCAACTATGCATTAAAATTGATCATTAAAAATTTTTGGGGAAAGAAGACAACATCTCCAAAAGGTATTCTTGACATGTTAGCTTCTAAAATGGAAGAGTAGCTTTCTAAATTTATTCTTTGGTGTAATTAATTCCAGCAGTATTATAGTTAGTATGAATCATCCTTTAAACATTGCAAAAGCAACAATATCAAACTACACTACAAAAATAATGTTATTCTTTTTAGTTTGTTTCTATTGCTATCTGGAAAAGTTGCATGCCTGCTTCAAATCAACGTTGATAGAAAAAGCTTACTATTCACATAAGCATATATTTTGGATATCCAATATGAAGCATGGTGCAAGCAACAAGCAAAGCCTGTGCAAGATTGTACATCCACAGCTAGAATAACCTCCTGGCATGTGGCCACAGGCAAGATCAAGAGATAGCAGCCACAGAACACACGCAGTAAAGATATAAGGTGATAATTTATAGTCTTGTTTAAGACATCATGGGAAGCTGGTGACTATTTCTTACCACACAAGTTGAAGGAGGGCTGGAGAAGGGGTGCATCTAAAGCCTGAGGTAATTATTAAGTGGGCCGAGACCCTAAAGGATACACACTGTTTGGTGCATTTCAAACTCCACGTGCTGCTCATTCAGCCTGGCATGCTCTCCACAATAATTTCACTGGTGGGAAGTCTGGGATGTGTCGTTGATTCATCTCATGAGAAGTCTGCGCACATACATTCTGCAAGTTGCAATCATCTGCTGGAAAGCACTTGAGCATGCATTTTGAAAAGTCAGTGGGGTGATGGGGGTGGGGAATAAGGATAATACTTGGTGTAGATGAATCCAACAGAATGTGAGACACACCTGCTGGGCACCAGTCGATCATTCAAAGGTGAGGAGGCTTTAGGAGCCTTTTGTAACAAGATTCTGACTCCAGTCTGCCACAAGTCAGTCAGAGATTAGGGACCCTACCTCCGAAGGAAGATCAGAGATCAGGAGCTCATATCCTTGGTAAATAGAATGAAGCAGTGCTTTGCCCCGGTCAATAGGGCAGGGAGTGGGCAGAAAATCTAGTCCATTGTACCTGGCATAGAAAACAGAGGAACACTTTGGTCTTTGCTGAACTTGTTTTCTTCTACAGTTAAGCTGCCATTTTAGATGTTACATTAACCACCAGTAGAACTATCCCAATAAAGGGGAAAATTTATAACAGCTCTGTAGAGAATAAACAGACAGCCTATACCATTGCGTGTTTTATCAGTGAGCAAGTAATTAAAATTCATTTGTGAGAGAATTTTGCAGTAAAGGTTCAGAAAGGATATACTCAGTGAACAAACAGACTCCATCACTGGCACTAAGTACAGTGAATATTTAATATTTTTACAACACACACTGTCCATGTGAATGGGGTGTGGGGGAAGGTATCAGCGGATGTGCCGTGTGGATTTGGTTTATATTCTGCGGCAGTGCTCTCATCACTAAGCTGCTTTGGTTACAAAGGGAGTTTTACTGAGGTTCGGTGCAGGCTGCAGTTAATCCCCGATCATCAGACTTACCCGCTTTCGAACGGAGAGACCGAGAGGCCGGCAGCAAAGGAGGAGCGGTCCCCCCACCCCCGGCGGGGGGTCGGGAGTCGGGAGTCGGGGTCGGGGTCCGGGCCTCTCCCCGGCGGGGGTCAGGGTCAGGGTCGGGGTTGGGGTAAGTCCCCGGGGAGAGGGCCGACACCCGGAACACATTGGTGTATCCGCGACCAGCCCCGGGCTCACTTACCCTGCAGGCTCTCCTCCTGGTTGCTGTGCCGTTCGCTCATGGTTCTGGAAAGTTCTCTCCGGCTGCGGGCCCCCGCGCCCCGGCTCCGGCTCCGGCTCCGGTGTAAACAAACTGATCCCCGATCCGTGGGGCAGCGGCGGCCAATCAGCGCCGAGCGGAAGGAGCTGCCTGAACTCGGCCGCGTACTTCCGTGGACAGGCTCCCTCAGCTCGGCTGCGGGGTAGGAGAGTGTGAGTGTGTGAGTTGGAGAGACCGGAGAGGGGAAGGGGGTGTGAGACGGGGAGATATGGAGGAACTGAGGGGGGGGAACACAGGGTGGAGACAGGGAGGAACTGAGGGTGGATCTGGGGTGGGCTACAGGGAGGAACTGAGGGGGTATCCGGGGTAGAGAAAGGGAGCAACTGAGGAGATATAGGGGGCACGGTGACGATTGAGACACAGAGGGAGGACCAGCGAGGAACTGAGGGGGGACAGGGGGAGCACAGCAGTGAAATATAGCGGTATTGAGGGGATGTAGGGGGCACTGTGAGGGCCTTACGTTCACAGGGAGGGACTTATAGTGGTCATGGGTGCTTTGGGGTGGCATGATTGGGGCTACAGGTAAAGGGAGGAGCTATGGCGGAACAGAGGGTAAAGGGCTATAATGGGCACACAGCAACAAAGTGGCGATGTTACAGGGAGCATGGAGGGAAGGGGCTACAGTGAGGTGGCAGAGAGGGAGGGATCTACAGAGGAAGGGGTATATTGAGGAGTCATGAGGAGTACAGGGAAAGGGGCACAGATGGGAGTGGCTGTAGGAAGAGGGGCACAAAGAGGAGGGGATTTGGGAAGGGGGCTACATAGGGAGACACAGAGGAAGAGGGGTTATGGAGGGGCTGGGCTTCAGGGATGGTAAGGGCTACGGGAGAAGGGACAAAAAGGAGCAGGGCCACAGAGACAACAAGGTGCAGGGCTGGATGAACACAGCAGGCCAAGCAGCATCATAGGAGCAGAGAGGCAGGACTATATGAGGAGAGGGTAATGAGGTGATTCAATTTGGGTGAATGTGGAACAGCGTCAGCCCATCTGATGCTGCAAACACCTGCTCTTCTTATCTTGAAACTGCACTACTGTGTCTGGCCAACCTCCACAATCTTCAGCTGTCTTGGTATGATACAGTGTTGCCCGATTATCGGGTTCACCCACTGTGTCATAATATGAAATCATGATCCAGTGCAAATGAAAGCAAAATACTTAAGAACACTCGCAAGGAAACCAAAGAAACTGAACTGGAGGAGATAAAATAATCTCTGTGGATGCCAGTCAAGGTCAATGCAAAGCTGTCCGCGAGTCCGTACTTGTATGGTATGGCACAAGTCTTAAATTCATATTCTAGAGTTTGCAAAAATGAAACAGTACTTGTACAAACTCCTCCAGCTCCATACTTGTAGAAACTTCTGCTTTCCTGCATTTCCACTGAACAGCCGTTGTTACCACTAGATGGGGCAGTTGCAGTAATATTTTAGATTTTTTATTCTGCTAGAATGCGAACAAGTACTGAGGGAAATAATTTAGAAACTGGCCAACAATATTTTGACATCAGTCCAACCTTGACTTGGCCGTATAAAAAAAAAGTATTAAAAAAGCTAACTGCTATTAAGATTAATTGAAAAGTAGGATATGGCAGATAAAAACCGAAAGAACTGCGGATGCTGTAAATCAGGACCAAAAACAAAGTTGCTGGAAAAGCTCAGCAGGTCTGGCAGCATCTGTGAAGAAAAAATCAGCGTTTATGTTTCGGGTCCAGTGACCCGGTTCTGAGGAAGGGTCACCGGACCTGAAACGTTAACTCTGAATTTTTTCTTCACAGATGCTGCCAGACCTGCTGAGCTTTTCCAGGATATGGCAGATGTTGCATAGAAATCTGAAAGAAAAACAGAAAGTGCTGTAAGTACTCAGCAGGCAACATCTGTAGCCCTTTCATCAGAACATCTTAAATTTACACAAATATTTATTATGTGGTTAGTTCTTTGAGTCTTTAAAGATTTGGTGCAACACCTCTATATTGGAAATGACAGTTTTGATGTGTCATATTGATTTCAGGCTAGACAGACAGTGTATCTTTAAGACTGTTACATGACATCATGACAGGTGACGTTCTGAACTAAAGTGCCACACCTTCGGTGGGGCTGTTAGTTCAATGGATTCCATTTTCATTCAGACGTTTCGTCACTATGCTAGGTAACATCATCAATGAGGCCTCCGATGAAGACCTTCGTCAGAGGCCTCACTGATGATGTTACTTAGCATGGTGATGAAACATCTGAACAAAAACAAGCCAGCTCAGCGAGCAAATCAATAACCTTACCCACAACCTGAGCTACAAATCTTTGCTAAAACTTTAATGGACTCCATGTCATGTCCAGTCCAGTCACTTATGTGACTCCAGTGTCCAGTGACTACAGTCACTTATGTGCTTTTATTAGTACGCACAGAGCACAGATTATAGGAGTGTAAATAGTTAGAATTGTTCATCAACTTGAAGACATCTGTCTCAACAAGAATCCTGTTTTTGAGTATTAAAAATAGGTGGCCATAGCTGAGCTGATTTAAAATATAGAAATTTTGCACGTGTAAAGACAATCTAACAAAGCAATTTTAGAAAAAGGTACAAAAATCCCACAGAAATGATATTGTTTTCTATATTAATAAGGCCTTTTTGTGTCCAGACATCATTCAATTCTGCAAAGTTGTTTCTCAAGAACTGCATAAAAACAAAATAAAACATGCATGATGTTACTATTTGTTTTTTGTAATGAATGTCACCTACAAGTTTGCTACTCTAAAAGCAACAACAGGCAGGAAAGGAAGTCAATAACAAAAACAAACCCAAAAAATACACTAAGCAAAGCGAGTTTTTGGTATTTTAAAGGTCACAGTAAAGACGGAAAGCAAACATGAGCATGTATTGGCACTCCATTGAAATTCTGTCAGAATTTCAATTGTAGAATGAATAAATCAATCTTCACTCCTCAATCAACAAATAGCTGATAAAGAAAGACAAAAAATCAAACTCATTGCTTTTTGAAGTGAAGGATTAAAAAGTGTCAGATCCTCTGATATTTCTGATGTTAGCAGCAAAGATCTTGGCAACATATTTTAGAACAATAAACATTGAATCAATTTAAGTGCACACAGGCTTGAGTTCGTCATATTGACAAGAGCTGGATGAAATGACTGATTAGTAAGCAGGTGTCAATGCAAACATAGTGAATGTGATTTCACTGAAGCTAACTTAGCCAAGATACTCATGGAATTGGTCATTGCTTATACATTCCATAGAAAAGCACTTTTGGAAGAATTGAAAGTATATGCCAATGACACACACTAGAAATGATGGTGGTGGAGTAGGATGGTCCAGCCGGAACTCCTCTGCTCCACCTGTTCTTTCTCTTCTACTTCTATTTTTTCTCTCTCTCCTGCCTTCTCTCCCTTCTTGGGCTCCCAGCCTCTGAAGCGGGGATGCCAGTAACCAGCAGCTCCATGCAGAACGTGGCGGCCCAGTGCAGGAGTAGGTATAGCAGCCCAGCACAAAGCATGGCACAGCCAGCAATCAGACCATGTAGAGGCCGCCTACATTGGTCTGCTGCGGGGACACCAACAAGTAGTGGCCAGAGAGGGGACGCCAGCGACCAGCAGCCTGGCGCAGATCATGGCAGCAGTGGCCCAGTGTGCGACGGGAGTAGTGGTCTGGTGCAGGATGGTGGCGGCAGCGGCCCAGTGCAGAGTGTGACGCAGGTAACAATCAGATCACATGGAGGCCACCTGCATTGGTCTGCTGTGGAGAGCCTTTGGAGAGAGACTATGATGTGTGTCTTTTCGACACTGCTTCTTGTTTTATTCTGAAGTATGATTACACTGAGTATAGCTGTAATGTAACTTTTTTCTTCATTTCTAAATTCTATAACTAAGGATTGTACTTAGGTACCATTGTTGAGTTGAGTACATGTGACAATAAAGCTAATTCAGTACCTGAACATGTCCAGCTCAAAAGGATTATTACCAGAACACATGCCTTTTGTGCAATAAATCAGAGGTACTACTAGTACAAAGGTTGTAGACACATTGACCACCACATCTCCAGTATGTTCAATGTTCTTTAACTAATTGCCACTGACAGTGGTCTGCAGTACACGAGTGAACCCTCCACAACATGTGTAAGAAATAGGGTATTTAATATATTACCTCTTCTCAAACTACCCTCAGTCAAATGGTCTTGCAAAATGAACTGCCTGTACTGTAAAATCAACAATTATTCAACAAAAAGTGACCTGCCAAGGTTTTTGGAGAGCTGTGCTGAAGCTACTTGATATTCCTTCAGTATACAGTTTGTCTTCACCAGTCGCTCTCATGTTTAAGAAACAGATCTGCAAAGTTCTCTCCTCCCACATTCCCTGATTGTCTCCGAGTTATCAATGTCAATGTCGGCCATCTTCATATCTTGTTAGGAGCTGTCCTTTTATTAGAAAGATGGATGCTCAGGTGGTCATGACCAGTGGCCACCTCACTGTACAGAAAGTCTTGGGTTATACAGCTATCGAGTATTTGATAATCATGGCCCAGCCAGAGCAATGTCTCCAGCTTATCATTGAGCACATGTGTCACTGTGGGGGTTGGGGGGGATGTAGGTGGGGAATATTGATAGATTTTCACTATTATCCTTCGGACAGTAAAATGGTAGATCTATTCACAGCCTTTTCTGCAATTTCCTGCTTTTATTTTCATTGATTTTAATCTAAATAAATATTGTGTCAGACAATGGATAGGCTGCACTACTTTACTAGCCAAGAAATGAAGGTAAAAACTACCCATAGTCTCTGAAATAATCCTAATAATCAGTTGTTGGAATCTACTAAATAAACTGTAGAAATAATGCTTTGTAATGGGCGTTATTTATTCATAGCATTAAATGCACTAGAAGCCTAAAAATTCACAGTTCAGAAGGAGGTCATTTGAGCCCTTGAGTCTGTACTGGTTCCTGAAGTAGTTTTCAAATATATATCCACCTTACTTCTGAAACTACCTATGGAATCTGCCTCCAGCACACTCCCAGGCAGTGCATTCCAAATTCTAACAACTCTTTGAGCAAAGAAGTTTCTCCTCATCTCACTTCTACCTGTCTTGTTGACAGTCTTGAAATTGTGACCCTTAGTTACTGATATATCAAATGGTGTAAACAAAAATTCCTCTTTACCCTGTCAAAATTGTTCATAATTTTGAACACTTCAGCCAGGTCTCCTCGTAATCTTCTCTATTACATGTAGAATATGCCCAATTTCTGTAATCTTTCCTTGTATCCAAAATCTCTCATTCCTGATATCATTCCAGTAAATATCTTTTGAACCATCTCTAGGGCTTTAACATCCTTCCTTAACTAAGGTGCCCAGAACTGTACGCAATACTCAAAATGTGGTCTGACCAATGATTTGTAAAGGTGTAGCATCACTTCCTCTCTTTTATATGCTCTGCCTCTATTTATAAATCCAAGGATCCTATAAGCCTTCATAACAATTGTTTAAACTTGCCTGAATACCTTCAGAGAATCATGGACTTGAACCCCAAGGTCCGGCTTCTCCTGTATTCCCCTCAAAGTTGTACCATTGAGCCTGCATTGTCTCTCCACATTTCTTCTCCCAAAATGCATTACCGCACATTTCACTGCATTCAAAATCACATGCCAGGTGGGGGCGCCAACTTGTAAATGTCTCTGAAGTCATTGAGCATCATCCTCGCAATTCACTATTCTCCCTCGCTTAGTATCATCTGCAAATTAGAGATTTTGCCCTCAACACCCATCTACAAATTGTTTACATAAATCAGAAAAAGCAGGAGTTCCACTTTCAACTCATTTCCAATCTGAGAAATGCCATCTATACCTACCCTCTGTTTTCTATCTTTTAGCCAACTTCAAATCTATGCTATCAAGGGCTCATCAATCCCAAAGATTTCCAAT